GGACTCGAGTTGGATAGCCTTACCATTCGACCGGTACTCGCCTTCCACCAAGACCAAGATCCTCATCGCTCTTCTATTTTTCCTTCGGTCGGACCTTCTCTTAGTGATGCTCATGCCGCCACTGGGCCACGGCCTTCTTCCTCTTCTTCGTCTGCTTCTTCCGGTAGCACGAATCATGGCCAGTATTCCTACAGCCAACAACAACAGCACCAGCAGCAGTGCTCGGGGACAGTAGCCGTCATTCTTGCTCAGCCAAAATCCCGCAAACGCAAATGTCGAAGCCCCCTAGCCCCCTCGATCTCTTTGGTGCAAACTGTCCCCGACATGCCGGTGGAGGGGTGTGCTGCCAGCACTGGTGGCGGCCACTATCAACATGCTCATCATACTCACCATACCAGCACTACCGCCAACCATCTTCACCCTGGACATTTGGATGGGGGCGCTTCTTTATTCCATCCTGCCCATAACGCGTACAGGTCGGGCGCGTGGGACCGACAGGCACAAGCACCAGCACATTCATCGTCGCTCCAGCAACCCGTATCGGTAGCGCAGGCTATCCCACCAATAGGTTGCACTTCATTAGCGTGCATGTCGGCCACTGCGGCGAATAGCAATAGTGCTGTGGCTAACAATCATGTTGCTAATGCTTGCTGGCCGTCCGCCGCGGTGGTAGTGGCGCCTAATTTCGATCATCACGACCACCATCAACAAAATGGCTGCTCCGCAAAATGTTGCTTGAATTGTCTTATTAGGACGTCTGATGGGTATGTCCGCGCGCTTCTCTCCCATACCATCTCCCTATGTCGTAAACCTCTGTGCCATATCTGTGTCATATCCACATGATTGCGCTATCTGACTACCTCTCTCCTTTCTTCTCACGTACCTTGCCTCATCCCTAAACCCTTTCAATCTCTTTCGACCGCCGATAACGTCCCTTGTCTTATCTCGTCTTCATCTCTTTTGGCTGACAAACTGGCTAACTGACGCACTTTTCTTTCTCTGGCCATTCTCTGTTGTCTCTATTCGGCATGGCACCGTCCTCCCTTCAATAACACTATTAAATACGCCATGAATTCGTGGGCCAATTGTCTTCCCCACTCCCTCCTTCTTTTTCGATCACTTGTCGAAATGGAATCAATTGGGCTGGGTCGTAATGGTGGTTGATCGGTACAGTCATACCATTTGTATCGACTGCCTCGAAGATTCATTTGCGTATTGAATTCTATTATGTTTGCTCTTGGGCGTCTCTTGAAAGAATATGGTTCGAGAGACGAGAAAAACCATTGCCACCCGGACCGTAACCCCATCTAGGCCCCCTTCTTCTCTCTCGTGTGCCTGCTTTATATCTGGTTTTGTTGTGAAGAGAGAAAGGGGGCTGGGTTACTGTTGACCTCTTTTGTTTCTTGCACTCCTCGCACTTCGCGGACTACCTCACTTATCTCGAACATCAAAGGGGTTGTATTCCATACCCAAGAACCACCTCGCTCACTCGCTATCTCTACAGACTCGAAAATTCCCATTTTGCATCCAATGGCAAACACGCAACCCGGTTCACTCATTCCCCCTTGCTCCGCTCACGACACTCATTGGCATTTTTACCTCTCACCCATCCCCTTTCTCTTCTCCCTCTCTGTCCTTGCAATCGACGATTGCATGGAGTAGTGGCACGAGGAAAAGAAAGTAGCAGGTTTCAGCCACCTGCTCGTGTACAAAATGAACTAGCATTTA